GTTAAAAGCATTATAAGGAAACACTGCAAACAACTTTAACCCAAGTAATTAGACAACTGAGATGAAATGGACAAATTCCTAGAAAGATACAAATTTTTTAAAGTAACTCAAAATGAAACAAAATCTAAGTACACTTAAAACAAGTGAAAAAAATTATTGAATTAGTAATTAAGAGAAAACTACTGACCAATATCCCTTATGAATATAGATACAAATCTGCAGCAACATATTAGCAAACCAAGTCCAACACTATATAAAAATAAAAAGGATTATACACTATGACCAAGATAGATTTATTCCAGGAATATAAGATTGGTATAATACCTAAAATTCACCTAATGTATTGCCTGTTAGTAGAATAAAGGACAAAAACCACACAATCAACAAAATCCAACATACATTCATAAAAAACCTCTCAATAAACAAGGAATAGAAGGGAACTTTAGCCTGATAAACGTCATCTACAAAATGCTATAGGCTAACACCATACTTAATGGGAAAAGACTAAATATTTTTCTCTAAAATTGGAAACAAGGTCAAAGTGTTGGCCTTCAATTCTATTCAACATTGTACTGGAGGTCCTAACTGGTGCAATCAGGCAGAGGATTAAAAAAAAAAGAAAAGAAAAAAGATTTTATTTATTTTTACAGAGAGGGAAGGGGAGAGATAGAAAAAGGGAGAGAAACTTCAATTGCTTGCGCCTCTCACACATGCCCCCGACTGGGGATTGAACCCACAACCCAGGTATTTGCCCTGACCAGGAATCGAACCAGAAACAATTCCCACTTTATGGGACGATACCCAACCAACTAAGCCACATCGGTCAAGGTAGGGTTTTTAATTTTTTAATGGACATCAGATTATGTCATTCTTCTACACAAAACTCTCCAGTGGCTTCCGATTTCACTCACAATGAAGCCCTACCTGATCTGGATCCCTGTCTACCCTTGTGATTTCTCCATACTCCACTCTTACCTTTCATCTCTAGCCACACTGACCCCCTTTTGTTCCTCAAACACAATAAGCACACTCCTGTTTCAGGGTCTCTGAACTTTGCTTAACTCTATGCCTGGAATATTATTCCCCAAGATAAACAGTATACATAGATCACTACTTGAGTTACTGTATATTTCTGCACAGATTTTATTTTCTAACAGGGGGCTTCTTTCAACACACAGTCCCTTTCATCATAGTATCCATTTATCTGTTTTCCTTCACTAGAATGTAAACTACAAGAGAAAGAGCCATTTTCTTTACTGTTACATTTCAAACACTTAAAGTTGTACCTGACACATAGTGAACATTCAATAAATACTCACAGAATATCTTTAAAAAGAAAATTTTAGCCCTGACCAGTGTGGCTCAGTTGGGTGGGCATCGTTCTGCAAAACTAAAGGCTGCTGGTTTGATTTCCAGTAAGAGCACATTAATGGGTTGTGGGTTTGGTCCCGAGTCAGGGTGCACACACAGGGCACATATGACCAAGAGGCAACCAATAAGGTCTCTCTCGCATCAGTGTATCTCTTTCTCCCTCCCCTCCCCTCTCTAAATATAAATTTAAAATTTTTTTAATTTTTATGTAGGAGAATGAATAAAAGGAAGTGGGCGAGGGAAAGGACCACTAGCCAAAGAGGCTGAAAAGGACCAGGATTTTAAGTCATGGGGGGGAAAGCCAACATAGAGCAGTAGGAAAACTTGGTTCTCTGGAACCAAAATCTTCTGGAGTCTAAACTTAGCTCTTCCAATCACTGCCTAGTGTGGTCCCTCTCTAAGTTTTAGTAATTTATAAATGAGAGCACCACTTAACTCCTAAGGTGCTACAAAAATAAAATCAATTTATGTATAGCATTCAGTAGCACATAATGTAGACACTATACTTAATGTTTTCTGATATCTCTGGCCTTCAAGAGGAACCTAAAACTACCTTTAAAATTACCTAACCCCAGCCGTGGCCAGTGTGGCTCAACTGGTTGGAGCATCATCCCATAACTGAAGGGTTGCATGTTTGATTCCTGGTGTGGACCCATACCCTAGGTTGTGGGTTCAGTCCCTGGTCCACGCATGTGCAAACCCCGGTCCAGGCATATATGGGAAGCAACTACTTGATGCTTCTCTCTCACAATGATGTTTCTCTCTCTTAAAAAAAAACAAAAAAAAACGGAGTACCTAACCCCACCTTAATGAGGCACAGGCATATCTGTATGGCCCCTGCCCCTAAATTAAATGGCCGCTATACTTATTTTAACTTCTCTTTCTCATCTTTCCTCTTTCACTCCCCCCTTACTGTTCTCAGCTCTCACCTCTGGCTGCTGTTAATACAGCAGCTCCTCCTTGCTTTTTTATATGCTGCTTTTAATTTTATGGGGGTTTTGAAACCAGATTGCTAAACTTGTTACAATAACATGTAACAGTAAAATTAAATTAGTGCTGTACAAGGGTTTAAGAATTAAAATGACCTGCTTCCTTGTTTTTTAGTTGGAGTCTAAAAAATTGAGGATGTTAGATAAATAAGCTGTTATATGGATATCAGTATTTTATATACTTTCACATGGAATCATTCATATTTTAAAATAATCACTGGTAGAACTTCGTTACAGGGTAGCTATTACAGGAATAGTAAGATACAAACTTGGCACACAGGACACGGAAAAGCCAGAAGCTATAAAACTTTAGATTAACCAAACAAAAAGAGATGGCAAGCAAGAGTCTGGAGATTCAAAGTAGGAAGAAAGGCTGGCCAACCAAGAGCACCAGAAAGAGGACAGACCCCTCTGTGCACCCTCAGGCAGACAGAGGGAAACAGAATTGCCACTGTTACAAAGAGTGAAAGGAGTGGCCAAGGGTGACGGAGAGATCGTGGGAAAACATGGCCTCTGATAAGACATAAGGCTACAGGCAGAAGTGCCATTTTCACTAGTAGTTGAGGGTGGGGGAGGGGGTGGGCAGGGAACTTACGGCCAAAATAGGAATAGCCTTCCTCTTCTCATATGACAGCAGGGAACACGGCAACACCTCAGAATTAGTCATTGAGTGCAAACGCATGCTGAGGATGAGCTCTTGAAAAATGCTTTAATATCTGTGTCAGCAGTGGCCTTGGAGCCAGACTGTGTGAGTGCATTTAAACCTGCACTCTGCAGCCAACTCGGTGCAAATCATGGCTGCCAATGCTGCCTGGCTTTGTCCCTGCGCCCTAGAATCCCTTTCCTTGTGAAAAGATTGAGCTTTGGGAAGGCCCTGCGTAAGGAGAGTAGAAGGGCACGGGACAAGATTCACAGTGCAGATTTCCAAAGGAAAACCCTCCCTTTTACGATTGGGGGATGGAATGGCAAATAGGTCAGGGGCTGAGATGTCAGGGATACTTATAATGCTTTCTTCTCACTTTCTCTCCTTTCAGTCATGCTGCTTTAAAATTCACAAAGCTTTCCAACCTGTACTTTCATTTGATTCTCTACAATATCCTGCATGGAAGGTGTACACATGATAGACGTGGGGGTGTGGGGAAACAGTCCAATTTTACAAATAGGAAAATGAAGATTGTTCAAGGGCAGATGCAGAGAGAGAAGATTAAAACCCAGATTCTTTCCTTGGCTGGTGTGGCTCAGTGGACTGAGCGCTGGCCTGTAAACCAAAGTGCTGTCAGCTCAATTCCCAATCCCAGCACATGCCTGGGTTGCACGCCAGGTCCCCAGTAGGGGGTGCATTAAGCAACCATACATAGTTTTTCTCCCTCCTTCTCCCTCCCTTCCCCTCTAAAAATAAATAAATAAATAATTTAATAAAAAAAAAAAAAAGATTCTCAACTCTAACACAGCTCTCCAGATTCCTATCTGTGCTGGCCCAAGTGTTTACAAGACCCAATGTGTTACAGGTGTTTTCTTCTGCATTTAGCTTGGGCCTCTGCCTACATGAAGGGTTCTTCCTATCTTTTAGCCTCTTGGCCCCTTACTAAAAATGCCATTGCTCAGAAGGAACCCCTACAACTCCTACCTGCCCTGCGGGGCCCCTCAAATAACTGAACCTCTTTTCTGAATCCCTGAGGTCTGTCTTCTTGAACCGTATGAGAAAAATCAGATCGCCTGCCAACTCCAGGAGAACAATGGTATTTACAGTTAGACTGGCCTAGGTTCTAACATTGACTCTGCTAAGGTATGAGCCCTAGGCAAATTACTCTAGCTCCCTGAGCCTCAATTCCCTCATCTACAAAATGGGGTTTTGTCTAGAGTAAATAAGATCCATAATACCATTGGTTCTTTTTTAAGATTTTATTATTTTTAGAGAAAGAGAGGGAAAGAGAAACATTGATGTGAGATAGAAACATAGATCAACTGCCTCTTGCACACTTCCCATCCAGGGATCAAACCCACAACCCAGAAATGTGCCCTGACTGGGAATCAAACCAGGAACCTTTTGCTTCGTGGGATGATACCCAACCAACCGAGCTACACAAGTCAGGATACAATCGGTTCCTAATGTGCTGATTCCCTTCCCGTCTCACCATCTGTAAGTTCCCCTGACTTCCCCCCCAACCTTCACACAGGTCCACTCTAGCACTCTACGCTCACCACTGTTCATGATCATATTTTTCAGGACTGGTAAAACTACAGAATTTTCTAAAGCAGACCTATGGGCTTGGTAGGGTACAGTCAAGACTGAAATCAGGGAAGTCTCTAAGGGCTATGAGGTCATGTTAAGAGAGCTGGTGGAAGCCGCCAGGTTCCGAAGTCGCCCCCTCCCCACCCAGCACAAAGCAGCTAGCAGAAGCCAGCAGGGGTTGAGCCTGCTCTGTCTTATTCATTAAAAGTGACCCTGACCCATCTTGTGACAGCTCCAGTAAAGCAAGTTCAGTTTTTCTCCCAACACAGGAGGCTGCCTACGACAACTTCTTAGACATGGAACAGAAGAGTAATCACCTGTAAATTATCTGTAATAAGGATAAAAAGAAGCTCAAATCAGTTACTCTCTACCTTGGACCAAGCTTGACTCGAGTTTGCCTCACTCACCAAGGTTGAGCTCAGTCAGCAATTTCCTCTTTAGGGTTACAGGGTCAGTCACCAGCACCTCTGCGAATAGGTATCACCTATAACAGAGAGGAAAGTCAGTCAGGGTCCTGCTTAGATCTTAGGTAAGAGCAGGCATTGAAAGTCCCTGCCCTCACATGTACTGCATCCTAGCAAAAGACAGGTTAATCATTAAATATGTAATTTCAGGTCATGCTAAGTACTATAAAATAAAACAAAGGAAGAAAAAATGTAAAGGATTGAGAATGAGGTCTATTTTAGATAAAATGGTAAGGGCAGGCTTCTCCAACAGGTGACGAATAGACAGAGACCTGAATGAAGTGTAGGGGTAAGATCTGCAAAGATCTAAGGCAAGAGTGTTTTAGAAAGCTGGAATTACACATGCAAAGGCCCTGAGGCAAGAGGCAATAACAGACTATGCTGAAAGAGAAAGATCAATATAGCTAGAATGTAGTGATACGAAGAGTGAGATAATAAATACACGTGGAGGAATTACTCTTTCTCATTTTAATATGAGAAAACTGAGGCTCAGAGGTTAGGTGACTTGTCCAATATCAGAGTATGTCAGTGGCAGAGCTGCTCTTCAGGACGACTCTTAGTCTATCTCACTCCCGGGCTAGGTTCCTCCAGGCTTAGATAATCTGGAATCCAACTGGGACAAACTTTTGAGTACTCTAAGGTTGGTTTTGGGTTTCTCTGATCATCCTGGGTGAGGATTTTAAAGAACAGAAAAACCCCTATATATTACCTGACTCTGACGTGACTTTGGGGTAAAGAGAACAGGAGCATATGCCAGGCACTGTTGTAAACCTTTTGTTTGTATTAACTCATTTAGTCTTCACAACAATTTTGTAATGTTGGTGTGTTATTAAATGCCCCATTTTACTAATGGGGAAACTGAGGCACAGGGAAGTTAAATAGATGTGCCCAAGTCACAAAGCCAATAAATGGAAGAGTTGGGACATGAACCCAGGGAGTACAACCTCCAGGGCTTGCCCTTCTAACCACACACTATACCAATTCTCAAAAACAGACAAAAAAAGTCAGGAAACAGGTTCCCCAGTTCCAGCTGACATGGCTCAAAGCCCCAATGTACACCCAAGCCTGAGATCTCCATTTACCTGCAGTCCAGACTTTTTACTGAATACTATTTGAATGACTGAGTCCTTCCGCTGGGTGATTCCAGAGGATTCTCTAATTTTCTAGCTACTGTAATCACAAAGCTATGATGATAACCACAACAGCCATTTCATAGCCACTAACATTTAATGCCCACTTTGAAATTAGACAAGATACCAGTCAGTCTAAGCACCTTACATGCACTATCTTATTTCAGTGAGGGAAAGAGTTGTTCTAAGACACAGGAAGAGGGCTGCAGGACTGAAACAAAGCAGCAAACACTCAGAACTGAAGAATGTCTCTAGGTCTGGATCAAAGAACAAAGGCAGAGGCCTTAGACAGGTGGTAAAGGGCATGGACTATCAGCACCTCCAACTCAACAGGTCAAGAAATTGAACCCATCTCCTATTTCCAGCCTCCATGGTTCAGCAAATGATGTAACTCTTCTCCCAAGTATCTAGACTCCAAATGCTCATGCTTGCCAACTCCTCCTTTGCTCATTCCCCATTGCCAAAACTGCAAAGTCCTTGTGTTTGGAGTTTTCGTTTTGTATTGTTTTTGCTCTACAAGCTCTACATCCAGTGTTCTTCATTATTCCCTACTGTGTCAACTTCCTCTTGATTCAGGATCTCATTATCTCTTGCCTGCACGGCTGGAATATTTTTTAAAATTTACTGACATTACAAAGACTATTATAGTAGCCTCTTCCCTGGTTTATCTTCCACTAGTCTCCCTCCACCCCTCCTGCTCCAACCCTCTAGGCCCACACTGCCAGATTAATGTTCCCAGCGCCACTCCCCTGATGAAAAAGAACGTCCCGGCTCCCAATCGCCTCAGCCTCGCTCCCTAGGTATGCCATGAGGTAGTCATCATCTCATGGACTTTCCAGCTCTCATTCTTCTGTCCATGCTATTGTCTCACCTGGAATGCCTGTCTTCAGGCATTTTTCTGTACTTTGTAAATGTTCAAATCCTTAATCTTCAAAGCCTAGCAAATCAATGAAGTTATCTTAAACCCTTTTTCTCACTGCTCTTTCTGTCACGTTCTTGAAACATCTCTGGCTGTGACTACATCTGGCTCTGGCCTCACGGTTAGCTATGGGCTCAGAACTAGTCTCCCTGTTCCTTCTTGCTTATAAAGATTCATACTGCTGCCCTGGCCAGTGAGGCTCACTTGGTTGCAGCATCGCCCCAAAAACCAAAAGGTCTCCAGTTTGATTCCTGGTCAGGGCACATACCTAGGTTGCAGAATTGGTCCCTAGTCAGGGTGTGTGTGAGAGGCAACCAATTGATGTTTCTTTCCTTCCCCTCTCTCTAAAATCAATAAACATGTCCTCAGGTAAGAATTACCAAAAAAAGATTCATACTGCTTCCAGGGAATGGAGACCTAGTCAGTTAGGATTTCTGTTCTCATTCTCGTTACTTTTCTTTTTTCTTTTAAAGAGAGAGGGGAAGGGTGGGAGAAAGAGAGGAAGAGAAACATCGATGTGAGAAACACTGATTGGTTGCCTCTCCTAAGTGTCCTGACCAGGGACTAAACTTGCAACCTAAGCATGTGCCCTGACCAGGAATCGAACTGGCGACCTTTTGCTCTGCAGGATGATGCCCAACCAACTGAGCCACACTGGTCAGAGCTCATTCCTGTTACTCTTATCTTATACTGGAGCTATCTCCTAAGAAGGGACCTGGGTTCTAATCTAAGACTCAGATTCCTCAACTACAAAATGGGGATATAATTCCCATCCCACCTATAATAGATAGATTTTGTGAGAATCAATGTGATAATAGGAAAGGAAAGGGGAAGAGTTAAGATAGAAGACTTCTAGCCAGATCTTGAACAGCTCTTTCTGTCACCTGCAAAACACTGAGTATATACAGAGGCCTTCTATCTAATCAATCAAAAATATTTCCTGGGCTTAATTGGCCAGGGTCCCAGCTCTGGGTTTTGGGTTATAGACGTTGCAGGGATGAATGAGAACCATCCTTATTCTTGGGCTCCTTGCAATTTAGGGTGAGACTGTGTCAACCCTGCAAAGGACCATTACAATATTAGGCAGATCTAGCAGCTCAGAGTGCTACGACTTGTAAATGTGGAGGAAGAAATGTCTAACTGGAGGTGGCCTCAAAAGCTTCACAGAGGAGGACTTAAGCCAGGCCTTGTGATGCAGGGTGACAGAAAGGTTCAGGCTACTATGCACCAGAGACTGAGCTAGGTATTATGCTGTTAACCCTCACAATAATCTGTGAAGCAGGTTATGGCAGGTCCATTTTATAGCAAAGGTAACTGAAGATGGGCAAAGCTAAGTATGCCATTCAAGGTCAAACACCTAATAAGTAGCAGAACAAGGATTTGAACCTAGGTCTGCTACACTTTACCCAAAAGCCTATGTGATTGCTCTTTACTTACTTCATTATGTAGCAACATGAAAGGAGGACCATATAAACTCTGAAGTCCTTTTTACCTCAAAATCCAACGATTTGAATTGGTGGGGAGGGAAGAAAGGAAGCTTACTGCTGCAATATCTTCCCCATTAAGACTGTGATCTTCTGGCAGGCTTAGGGTCTTATTAACTGGAACACTCCAAATATCTAGAAGGTTTGAAACACTAAGTATTTAGAAGAACATATGAGTGAATAAGTGAATGAATTAACACCTGCCCCACTAACCTTTGTTCTGAGGTCTAAAAGTGAAGTACAAAATCTCAAGTTCTGTGTTCTGACTCTCAGCCCAAGTACCTGGAATATCAGTGTCTACTAATTTGTTGGCTAAAGGTGCCCTTTTTGCATTCTTCTTTTCAGGAGTTAGGGGAGAGGCAAGGAGAGAAAACGATAAAAAGGGAAGTTAGGCCCGATGGGTGTGGCTCAGTGGATTGAGCGCTCGCCTGCAAACTGAAAGGTTACTGGTTTAATTCCCAGTCAGGGCACATGCCTGGGTTGCAAGCCAGGTCCCCCAAGTGTGAGAGGCAAACAATTGATGCTTCTCTCCCTCTTTTAGTCTCCTTTTCTCTCTCTAAAAATAAATTAAAATCTTAAAAAAAAAAAAAAAAGAAGAAGAAGAAGTTGGGTGGTTAACAGAGAAAAGAGAGGAAGAGGAAAGGGGGAAAAGCTGAGAAGGTAAAGAAGGACACAAAAAGGAAGAGGATGCCTGGGCAAGACTGAAGTATCTGAAGCCTAGAGTTTGGGAAAGATTTCTTTTTCCTTCTGGTTCCAGAATCAAGGATTTTTGTTTGTCTTTTAAAAAGCAGGAGTAGGAATTCTTCTTTATAAATTTTAAATGAAGGGAACTTACTTGTCTAAATCCCAGACTCAATACACCAGCAGAAATAAAGTGAAGTTTTTCAGGACTCCAATCTTCAGGTCTCCAATTTTCAGTTCTCACCAGTCCGGCCCCAGCCTAACCCTCGCCTGCCTTAGGCTGAAGCCTGCATAGGTCATACAACGTGCTCCTTCTACAAGGGTTACTCCGGGCTAGTAAGCCTTGCCTGGGAGTCCAAACTTCCTATGGATTAGGAGATACTGATCTCCTCTGGACCCTTCCCCACAGCTCCCTGTCATTAAAGCTTTACTGAACCCTAAGGGGAGAGTGTTTCTCCCTTCTCCTGAATTCCTCAAATGTACGTATATGAGCTACAGTGAAGATGTAAACAGACAAGGCAAGGTCCCTTTTCAGAACTCTCTATATCCTAAGTCCTAATACAGTTCAACCCTCTTTAGGTTTGATCTGCATACTATATACACATACCTCTCCTTCTTATTGAATTAGTAGAGAGCGCCCCGGGCTAAGAGTCAGAAAACCTAAAGGCTAGTTCCAGCTTTACCTCTAATTCACCGTGTAACCCTGACCAAGTCATTTCACCTTCCTGGGCCTTAGTTTCTGTATCTGCAAAATGAAGGTGATAGTACATAATCTTTTGAAGAATCTGCTGATGGAGCAAACAAGA